CCCGCAGCTCCCTGTGCGCCGGAAGCCCTCCTTCCGGGAAACCCCCACTTCATATTATTTTAAACTGACTCAGATCTCATTTCTTCAGTTTCCTAATTTTAGAAAAATTCTCTAATTTTCTTTGGTTTTATTCCTCTGACTTTCAGGTCACGTTGAATTTAGAGTAGCACTGACTTTAGCTCACACCAGTTGTGTGAAGGAGAGCAATATGCAGACAGTAATTAAGTACACTCCTAAGACTTTAGGGATTGGATACTGTTACCTTTAAACTGTCTTCTTGAAAATATAGTATTACTCTTTTATATTTTTCTAAGGCGTAATGTTTTTAAAGTATTCTTACAGACTTGCTGGATTGTGTTTTTCTTTTTTAATTTTTGGATTGTGTTTTCTTTGAGATCAGAGTATGCATACCATACCTTTGAATCCCCTGTCCTTCAGGAGTAACTGGTCCATAAATAGCTCAAATGTTTGTGGAAAATATGTGTGAATAATGGTGCCTGTCTTCTCAAAGGTTTCGTGAGGCCTTTGACTAAAGCAGGAAACGTTTCCTTGATCACCTGGTCTTTTGAGAAGTGATTTGTTTCTCTCTAGCTTCTTCAGCAGTAGTCAGCTTCTTTCTCAAACTGAAGTGGATCCTGTTACAACTTTCATTCTCTGATCACATTAAAACATGACCAGAAGGAAAAAAACTTACAGTGCCTTTTCTTTCTCTCTTAGATTCATGCTCGCAACCAAAATGAAATAATTTTTGGGCTAAATGATGGCTACTATGGTGCTCCATTTGAAAACAAGGTAAGAGGATTCTCCTTATGTTATGAGTTTTGTTTAGTGCAGGTGTACGTTGCACCAGGATAAATATAATCCTGCAAAGCTCTGTGTAAATAGAATCATGTTTAAGTGTCTTTGTAAGTTTGTTGTTTAGTGTGGATTAGGTTGAACGCTATTTAGAGTGAAAATTTGTTTTGTAAGGCATATAACCATTCCATTTAATCTTTTCTAATCCAGATGGTATTTTCTTAAAGGAAAACTTGAACCAGTTTTTTCTTTTATTCTACCTGATTCCTGGGGGGTGATGTGAAGAAAGAATGGTGAATTACGATTAAATGTAGTATGGTTTTCTCAAAATGTTTCAAGTGTAACATTTATAACTTTTAATATGTTTCAGAACCCAAAGTTAAGTTGTTTTATGGTCAGCACTGTGTATCTATCAGTGATTAGAGAAAAGAGAGAGTAAGAATCCTTAATGATCAAGTACCTACTCCGAACTACTAAACCAAGGGATTTGTGTTCCTTTTTTTCTACTTGATAACAGCCGTAGCCAGTGTGGTGAATTTTGTCTTCCCCACTTTATAGATAAGGGAGTAGGTTGTGAGGGATGAACCTCACAAGACCTAGGAACCAGATGTCTTGATCCAGTCCAGGTATTAAGTTCATCTTGCAAGTGGTAACTGTGTTTCCGCGAAAATAAGACCTAACTGGAAAATAAGCGCCGGTCTTCACCATGTCCATTGTCGTGCAGAAGAGTATACCTCATTACTCTTCTGCTCCGTGGCTGCTCTGTAATGGCAGGTAAGGCAGGGTGGTTGCAGCAGGCATTTTTAATCTCTGGTTTTGAAGTCTGGTTATTTTCTGGTTAAGTCTTATTTTCAAGGAGGTAACTTACCATTCAGCACATAGTAATAATAATATTTAATAGCTAATACCTGTTGAGTATTACTGGAATAAGAGCTTTACATCTATTACTGTAGATGTAGCAGATGTAATCTCCCAATAATGTTATAGCTAAATACTAACTGTTGAGGTTTTGGACAGGGCAATAAATAATATTCTTTTCTTCTGAGTTTGGAACAAGTTGAGAAGTATGACAGGTGATAAATACGCTCGGTGTGTTGGCACATACCTAGGATTCCAGCACTTTGGGAGGCTGAGGCAGAGGATCGAAAGTTCCAGCTTAGCTTGGGCAGTTTAGCAACTTAATGAGACCGTCTCAAACTTGTAAAAGCATTTGGTGTAGCTCAGTGGTAGAACAGTTGCTCAGCATGCACAAGCCTCTGGGTTCGATTTCCAAACCAAAAAAACAGAAACACAAAGTGGACAAAAGTAGAAGCCATGGCCAGGCATAGTGGTGCATGCTTGTAATCCCAGCACTTGGGAGGCTGAGGCAGGAGGATCGTTGCTAGTTCGAGACCAGCCTGGGCTACCAAGTGAGCTCAAGGCCAGCCTGAATTGCATAGTGAGACCCTGTCTCAAAAAAAAATTAGAAGCCTTGGGCCTTCTGTACTTCTAGTCCAGAAGTGTGCAGAGTTGGTGAGAACATGGGTTCCTTGGGGCAAAATGAATACTTAAAACCAAGGCAAGGCTCTCTCTGTTACAAAAGGAAACAGAGAAAGACAAACAAAGAAACTGCAGAACTTTATAATTTTTAAGGGGGATTTTGGGGGGGACTTGGTGGTATTGGGGGTTGAATCCAGCCAAGGCCTTCACACCGAGATATATCCTCAGCTCTTCTTTATTTTTTATTTTGAAACAGGGGTCTGGCTGAGTCACTAGGTTGCCCAGGCTGGGCTCAAACTTGCAATTCTCAGCTATTCTTCAAAGGACTAATAAGTAGAATATATAAAGCACTTTAAAAAATCAGCCTACCAAATGTAAAGACCCAACACCAAAATAGGCATCTCAAATAAATAGGTACTTCTCAGATGAAGAAGTAGAAACAGCAAATAAGTATGTGAAAAAATGCTCAACATCCCTGGTCATTCAAGCGGTGAATATTGAAATAACTGAGATTCCATCTCACTCCAGAAAGAATGGCTAAAAAATCAACCAACAACAAATGCTGGCGGGGCTGTGGGGAAAAAGAAACCTTTTCCGTTGCTGATGGAATGTAAATTAGTATAATCATTATGGAAATCAGTATGGAGATTTCTCAGAAAACTAAAACTAGAGGTTCCATTTTACCCAGCTGTTCCCCTCCTGGGTATCTTTCCCAAAGAGCTGAAAGCAGCACATCACAGTGATATATGGACATCCATGTTTATAGCAGCATAATTTATGGATAGCTAAATCTTGGAAACAGCCCATATGCCCATCAACAGATGAATGGATAAAGAAAATGTGGTATTCATATACAACAGAGTATTACTGTGCCATAAAGAAGGACTTAAATTATTTGTAGGAAAATGGATGTACCTTGAGACCATAGTCTTAAGTGAAATAAACTGGATGTACAAGTTTAAAAAAAAATTAAGGAGACCTAGTTAACACTAGAAACAGAATATAGATTTCTAATTAGCAGAGGTAAAATAGGGACTATAAAGAGTACAAAGTTTTTTAACTTCATAGGAGACAGAAAACACAATAGGAAACATGATAAACAGAAATGTGTGGATATAGCAATAAGCCCAAATACATTTTTTTTTTTAAGGTCCTTATACTTTATTTTATTTTATTTTTTTTAATTTTTAATTTTAAAGAATAAAAGAAGGATAACATAATAATAGGGGGGACTTAGCAAATTACAGACAA